CAAACAAGATACCCGATCGTTTTTTGTCATGCGAATATTTTTTCTTCATTTTTTACATTTTGGCGCCATTTTTTTTTTTTTTTTGAACACATTGTTAAATACATAAAAAGATGATGAAGGAAGGAACTTCAAATGAAGAAGAAATTGAATTAAATAAAAGGTTTTATGAATTATCAAAAATTATTTTACAATCACTCACTTTAATGTAGAGCGGTGTGAAAATTATTAATAAATTATATTAAGATATTTTATTTATTTATTTATTTATTTATTTATTTATTATTCTAGTTTATAAATTAAATTAATTTTATCATTTTATATAATGTAATATATTTATTTAATCCCTATCCTTGTTCCTCCATAACCACATTCTTTTGCCAATACATTGTCTATTTTAACCATTTTCTTGCAATAGCATTTGCCAAATTCATGAATGGCAATTCAATGAATTTGTGATAAAACCATGCTAGAATTATTGTAACCAAAAAAGTTAACATCACCGAATCAAACATATCATTATTTTTTTCAATTGGATCTGATTGATCTACATCCTTGAGTGTTTCAACATTACCAATAAATGTAAGATACTCATTAATATAATTATTTACCAGATTGAAGGCTATTGGATGTAAAAGATAGATACTAAATGAAATTTTGCCACAAAAACAAAAATAATTCCATGATAATAATTTCACAAATGATTCATTGCGTGATAACAGCCCAAGTAGAATTAAGGCTGCATATAATAACCCTCCTGCATTTATCTCCAACCGAAGATCATTAGAATAGCCCAAAACTTTTGATGATAATCTTGGCATTGTACATAAAATTATTATAAACATTATGTAACAAGATAAATCAAACATATTACGAAGTGCCGTGTGAAATGTAGGTATTTTTTGGTAAAAATAATTATATACTAATGACATTAATAAATCCTTTTTATTTTTAGGTTTTTTTTGAATTTTGTAAATGTTTTCTTCATCATTGTTATCATCTTTTTTCTCTTCCTCTTCACTCTTTGGTAATAAATTTAATCTAATAGCTTCTCTATATAATATAGCTCCTAATGATCCAGCTAAAAAATAATGAGCTGTGCCTTCTAACCATAAAGGATTTCTATCATCAAGAGTGAATGCAATAATTGTACGTGCAAATACAATTATAGAAAAGGCAATAACCCGACCAATCAATTCTCCTTTTTCTTCATAAGCAGTGATTTTCATAAGTTTTTTTCCTAGATGTCCAAGTCCTACATATCCTATTATGATTACTGGAATAAATAAGTAAAACTATATAAATAATATAATAATAATCAAATTTAGAAAATTTTAAATTTTTGGTATATATTATAAGTAATAATAATTAATTAATAAATAATTTACCTTCATTTCAGGTGGTATTGACCAAAAAATGAATTCAGATTCAGCCAAGGTAAGATGAGAAATAAGGTTATCAGGTGTCACAATGTTATAATATGATTCACCAATAAGTTGATTGTAGGCAATTAAAATCAAAAGAATGGCATAAGGTGGATATACTCTCATAAATCTACGTAGAAAAAATTTGGCCCATATTTTAATTGCTGGCAAATTATCATATAATATTGAGGAAATTCCTTTTCTTGCTGATAAATTTTTTATTGTCTTTGAATCTAGCCCTATAATTTCTTCGTTGTATTTCTAAATTTTTAATTGATTCATTAATTGAAAAATTGAGTGATAAGTAATTTATCAATTAACTAATTATAATCATTACCATCATTATTTACATTAAAAAAAAATTTGTCTACCTCATTATTATCATTCTCATCATCATCATTTAATAATGGAATTGATGAATTTGATCCAGTACTCTCTTCATTCTCTTCATTCTCTCCATTCTTTTCATTCTCTTCATTATCATTACCGCTAACATTTCGATACTCAAGATTACCTAATTGTTTTTTCGCCACCTCTTCTTCTTTTGGAATATTTCTTTTTTCAAGGTATGCTTCCCATTCTAACATTCCACGAAACGTTAATAAAAAAGCTGACAGTACAAAAAAACATCGAACGCCATCATAACCAATCATATTATATGTATAATAAGGAAGTGTTTGTTTGAATAGATTTTGTGAATGTGAATAAACTACTGAAAGTGCAGCTAAACCTCTTAAACCATCAAGGAAACTTGCATGAAAAGCATTACTTCTCGAATTTTTTGAGGCCATTATTATTATTATTATTATTTACTACTATTATGAATAGTATATATTTTCAAATAATAAATAAGTACATGTAAGTATAAGAGCCAATGATATTTGGACGTACAAATTAATAAAACAAATAATTCGAATCACCTAATGCGGACATTTTCTGAAAAGCTTCACCTAATGTAGACATTTTCAGCATAGTGGAAGTTTGTTGTTACACGATACGTTATACAGAACTCATTGCTTCTGAAACTTCTCCGGTATATAGTTGTTACCTCTCTAAATTGGAGATCAAGTTCAGATCCAATTCAAATCCAGTTATCACTTACTTTTTATTGCCAGAATGTTTGCTGTGTATTGTAAAGCTACGTTGCACATTTCAAATTTCTACTATGCTGACATTTTCCCGAAAAGCTTATCCTCGATAATATATGCGGATTTTTTTATGGTACCCTTTTTTCTCTAAAAAAGGAAATAGTGTAACAAAATATATTTTCAAATACGTTATTACATTATTAGTATATATTATGAACTTTCAATAGCCAAGGCTTTTGGAAAATCGTTACATTTATAAAATTATTAGAGGCTTTTAATTAGGATACATTTGTAGAACAGTGCTATGGAGAGAGAATTTTAATTTTATACAATTTTTTCGGAAGTTGCAATAGATAGAAGTATTATGATAAAGAAGAAATTTTCTGTATTTCGAATGAGCTTTTTTACGCCATTGGTATTTTTACATCCATTAAATCTTTCCATAGCTCTAATCTATATTAAATATACTATCTTGCTTGCTAATTTGGTGTTTATATCTTTAAAAACGGAGGAGTAGTAGTAGTTTGAAAACAGCATGTTTTATTAGCGTTTTATTAGTATTACAAACTTTCAATTGCTAAGGTTTCTGGAAAATCGTTACATTTATAAAATAATTGGAAGTTTTTAATTAGGTTACATTTGTAGAACAGTGCTATGGAGAGAGAATCTTTATTTCATACAATTTTTTCAGAAGTTGCAATAGATAGAAGTATTACGATAAAGAAAGAAATTTTCTGTATTTCGAATGAGTTTTTTTACACCACTGGTATTTTTAATCTATTAAATCTTTCCACAGCTCTAAAGTATAATGTATATACTATCTTTCATGGAAATTTAATGCCTATATCTTTGAAAACGGAGGAGGAGTTGTGTTTTGAAAACAATATGTTTAATATGTTCTTTACGTAAATTTCGGAAATCCTGTATGGGATATGCAGATCACAAAAAAAAATCACATATAACCAATCAATATATGGCATTAATTAGTTTTGATTTTTTTAGAATGTCGCACACCCCATTATCCTATCTTACCTGGACCGTGGTGGAATAGGTTAACAGGGAATTGTAAAACATGGTAAATTTTTGATGATCTGCATCATAGTAAAAGTCGAATTTACATAGTAAAATTTTACAATCAAGTGACTTCTAATCCCCATTTAATACCCTTGCTGTGTAGAAACCACCGCCAAATTTGAGTTATAACTTCTTTATCATATGCATCTGCTTTAAGAAATTTTAAAGCAGGTTGTTAATAAAACTGAAAATAATCTGACCCTCAAAGTCAAATTTTGCCTTTATATTCATATATGTAAAATCTTGTTTGACGCGTTCAATTGCAAGTATAAGTAGAAATAAATGTCCAAATATTACATTATTATGAATATTTGTAGATTTTTGATCATTTAGGTATGTCTTTTATAGTAAAATCATTTATTTTAAAAGTAATATAATAAATAAATAGACATTAAAGTTTTTCTTTACCTACAGTATATACATAAATAATAATTATAATAGTAAACAAGCAACAATAATGATTAAATTAAAAGGTGTTTTATCTCCGACTTTATTCATTTAATTATTTGTCATAGTGATGTTATTAAATATAAGTTAAAATAAAAGAAATTTATATACATAAATAAATAACTATTGAATAATTAATACATTTTTAATAGGTTGAAATTTTGAAATGTGTGATCTTTGTGATCTTTTGACAGTTGATATAAAACAACTAGGTAAATAATATATAGAAGTTTGAATGATTGTTAATTGGTACACTTGTATCCACTTAGTGTTCCATGTTGCAACCCAAAAAAAGAAGAAAAATGGTCATAAAGGTGGTTGCAACCAGCGGTTTCAATCATTTTTATATGATGCAAAGGTGGTAGCAACCATCATCGAAAGTTGCAGCTGGTATCCTTATACCCACTTTAATTGATGGGACTGGTTAGAGTATTTTAAAAAATATAAATAATTCGTGTAACATTTATATGATATTCACCATGCTCCTATAGAGCCAATCGGAATTATCGTTATTAAAAACAATATTAATATTCTTTACATAAAGTAACTATAGCTATTTGATTTATTTCATTTAATATGGAAATAAAAAAATTTTACTTATTGTTTCCACATTTTCATTTCCAATACAGCAATATCACCAACAACAATTTCAAACATCATAAATTTCAAAATGACTTACTTTAACTTTCAAGATTATCCTATGTCTTTTGGAATTGTCATGAAATTGAAAATGGACGGGAATTACACTTTTACAAAAAAGAATGGCAACCCTTGTGGAATGAAAGGTTCAACAACAAATACACTTTTTCAAATGAACATAATTTGGTGAGACCAAAGGGTATATATTATAAAATTTGTGATTTTTATTTTTGCAGAAAATTCCAATAATCCACACACACATTGTATATATTAAATTAAATATTTTTAATTGATAGTGGTAAATAATGAATCTAAAAAGAACATGCCTCCATTTCACTTACTGTAAATCAACCAAACAATCCACAAAAAAAAATTGTTTGAATTCATGATTAATAATGTTCAACCATTCTCATCAGTTAAAAGTGAAACATTTAAAAGTGTTCTTGCATCACTTGATGGTAATTTTAGCATGTACTATAAAGAAATGATATCAGCAGCATCAATAGTATAAATATTAAATAAATTAAATCAAGAGTTATTAGATAGTTGTGAATTCTGTAACAACTGATTTTTGGACATCACACAACAATAAAGGATACATTGGAATGAAATTATAAAATGGGATTTAGAAAATTATTGAGGTCGCTGGTAATAGTATGGTAAACTCTATCAAATTATTAAATGAATTATTAGATATTAAAAGGATTGCATGTGCTGTGCACACAACCCAAAAGACTTGAAAATAAGTTGAATTATACTCAAATTCTTAAGCTAGTTCTTGATGTTAAAACAAGGTGGAATTCTGCCTATATGGCATGGAAACATTTAATTAATTTAAAATGCTATTTTAATTTAATTAAAGATATGCAAATAGATGATGACAGATATGGCTTTAAAAGATTAAAAAAAATATTACTGAGTGATAATGAATGGTCCTTAATTAAAAGACATTAAGTGAAAATAGTTATGTTACCTCTTATCTTTAGTAATGATACCAGTAGACAAAAAGATAAAGCTGAAAGGTATTCTGATCTTGAAATTGCATTGATGATATGGTTCAATCAAGCACTTTTAGATAAAAGAGTAATCACAGGCAATGTATTTATGCAAGATCAACAGCTGAAGATAAATTATTGATTGTTAAACAAAAAATTAGTATATACAAAAGTAGTATTAGAATCTTTAGAAACTGTCTTTCTAATATTCAAGATCCACCTGAAAATCTTGCTTTTGAATTTAAACACATTAATTATCTATTATAACTTTATGAAATCATCTATTTGTTTTCTTTTTTATGTATTTTATAATAAAGTTGTAAAATATTGGCAATCTTTTTATACAATGAATCACATATATTAATATGAATTTTTTGTCAAAACCAACTATTTTTTATATCAAGCATTGACTATACATGTTTCATTTTTTGTGCAAATTTAACATGATTATAAATTTTTGTTTTATATTTAAAAAATTATATATCTAATTAAAAATCTGAAATATTGATTAGAAGAACATATGAATCACTATTTTTAATCCATTCCGTTTAGCTATTCCATCCTGTATATTTAGCATCATTTGTTATAACATAATTCTACTCTTGATGTCTAGAACAATGAAATATAAATAGATTTGTGAATCGCTATCCAATAGACTCTTCAATTTCCTAAGACTGTTTACCTAGATAAATAAATATGGTCAGTTCATAATAGTAGGTACAAATACAAAGCTAATGAAAACAAATGTTACCTTGATATTATGTTTTTTCACAATTGTCATCTGAAATAAACAATGAACTTCATTATCACACTGAGACACAAGAGCATAAACCGACTCAAAATTCTTCTATTTAGTCTGTTTAGGAATATTATAATAACCCTTTAAAGTTATTTCATTAATTGATTTAAATAAGTTTTGCTTTAGTCCCGGAAGTTGCAATCACCCACAAATATTACTGGCTAAAAATTCGCATTTTTAAATGTTGCAATAATCATGTAACATCACTCCAAAGAATCTTCCAGATAATGGAGCACCAGGACCTCTTACATTACTAACAATACTGTGTGGTTTTTTGTATTTATCAAACAAAGCCTCAAACATATAACCCTAAGCAGGAACATGTTCATAATCTGTAAATTTGATTTGGAGTACGTGTATGGATTTTCCAGAATAATGCTTATTTAATTTTTCTCCTTCTAGACATTGAGTGATTACTTCTAAGATCTTTAGCTCCTCATTATATTCATCAAAAGTTTTATCATGTATACAAACCCAAACCTTGATCAACCCATTGACTCGATCCTCAGTTACCTTATTTTTGTATTTGGATTCCATCTCCAAAACATTCTCTATTCAAATGTGTGTATAGCATTTTAAAACACCTGCTTCCTTCATAAATTCATGCCATCAGCTATTTCTTTGTGTTGTAACTAGAAGGGTAAATTTCGTTTGAACTAGAGTGGGAGACACGGAGTAACTATCTTTAAAGTCCCATTCACCCATCATATCAGAAATTTGAATTACGTTTTTGTTTTGTTTAATACAAAAAGTAAAGCTTCGATCAGTGCCTATGACTAATTGTCCAAAAGTAATATCTGCCGAGTACCAACGAGTTATGTAAAAAGCAAAAAATATTGCAAAATGTGTTTTCCCAATTCCAGGTGTACCATAATTGCCCTTCTTTAATAAATGATCATTACCATATCTGTAATGTTATAATTGGTTTATCATAATTGCCAAAATTTTCTCTGTAATTATTTGAACTCTTTAAATCAAATTGCATATTAATATATAGTTATTTTAATGTTCATTCATATAAAGAATATTGAGAATCCATAATTACTGCCATAATCACTTTTCCCAATTACGGCAAACAACTGTAATCACGATCATTTATCAACTTTTTCAATCGTATCAACATATAATTTCTTTATGTACACATACTGTGTTGATCATTCCATCTGGAGGATTTCAAAGATGTAAAAATTTTCTTAATCACCCATCTTAACCTTACCCAAAATTACCTCCTCTTCATTTGGTTTAACGTCTACAGATGTACCAACATTATATGTTGATTCGTTTTCTGAGCTTAGCATTTACTTCATTATTCAATATAATATGGTTCTCTTCAACTTTCATATGCTTTGAGAATGGTTCTGGGACTTTTCAACATTATCTGGTAATTTGTGTATTATATAGATGAGCTTGTTTTAGGTGAAGCAGGTTTAGGCTTATATCTTCAAAATCACCTTGCCGTTTCACTTTGTTTTACATATAACAAAAATAGAATAGATATAGTTCAGAATATTAGAATGTAATTTAATTATCAACATGAAACAAGATTGTGTATTTAATTAAAAAAGTGAATAAAAGAAGGAAAAAGAATCAATGAAGAAGAACAAGTTAATCAATATCACACAACACTATGCCAAACATTCCTTCAAAAATATAAGCATTACTTGTTAATGATAAACAATTAAATGATAGAAGGTGGTTTAAATTTAAATTGAACGGTGTACCAAATGTTGCTAAATGGGAAAATGAAAAAAAGAGAAAGTATATTTTCTGATGTAAGTTGTTCATTACCTTTTTCTTTATTCATTCTTCCCTATACTCCAAAACTAACCATCTCCTTGCCTCCAACCACTCTTTCTCTTTCTCTAAATATTTCATCTCTCCTCCACGCCTTTCCACACATCCTTCCCACTACTCGATCAACTTCTTTATGTTATCCTCCTCTTTAACTTCGACTTCTCTTTGTACTCTTTCTTCGTCTTCTCCAGTTATCATTTTTGAAAATGTAAAAATATTTATAAATCATATAGAATATATAAAATTAAAAAGTTTGATGTTAAAAATAAAGAAATGTCCAAGTTAAACTTGCGGAATAACCATTAGAATTGTGAAAGTTTATTTTAAACCACATGACTTCCATAAACGCATGGATATCTGTGTTAAATGCAATAATATTTATTACTTAGTTAAAGTTACAAATGTCTAATGTTAACTTATTAATATCTACATTACTTGTCTTTGGAATGCGATTAAACTAATTCTCTGGTTTTTATTTTATACACATGTTTTAATAATAATAGAAAAAAAAGCAAACAAACATATTTTTGTATCTCGCATTTATTTTATTTTATATTTAGGATTCCACACTGGATACACTTTCCGTTGAAATCCAAAAATAGTTAATATATTTTACTAAATTAAGTCAAGAATGGATTATTATTATTAATATTAAATCTTTGTTTTATTAATCATTACCACTCCATCATCATAATAATTGCAACAACAATTCTCATCTGCAACTCTATATATAGATTATTTCACGTCATGACACATCTAATTGTATACAATTACAACACAAGGAAGAGAATCGTAAGTATTTTGGGTTTTGTAAATGTGGATTAAAGCTAATAATAATGCAAGTAATTTTTGTATAATAACTGCGGAAATAGGTGAAGGTTCTGAAATAGATAAAAAGTCAAGACTATCTGGCTAAACCAAGAAAAAAAAAATATGAAGTTGTTGTTTTTATGAGGAGAAATAAGTGTACTTGCAGGGAAACTCTCTCTATAATGTATCTTTCCATAACGGATCTTGCTCTATAACAGGCTGTGAAATTTGAGTCCAATTTATATGTCACGTATATAATAATAGTAGTTGTTTCTAACGGGCATTTTTTCCGGTAATAATCCAAATGGTACGTTATAGAGAGAGCGAATTGTATATACTGGCGAAAATTTTGCATGTAATGGTGATGATCTAAGTCCTCTGTGTGGAAATTGTTTACGAGTACAAGCTAAGCTGGTATCTTCACCAAAGGACAGTATATAAATTGAAATGTGACCATGAAGAACCCATCTTGTTGAGCGTTTATAGCGATAAAACTTTTAAACAATAAAAGTTGATTAAGACTAAAGCTGAAGCACTACATTTGCTTCATTGGCTTATAATATAATTAGTGATATGAGCTGGCTAAGGAATTTTTAAACGGCTTGTCTGGCTAAAAAAAATCTTTTGACATTCATTTTACGTCTGGAGTTTTAATGCATTACTTAGAAATGATAAAAGAAAAAGACATATATTTGCTAAAAAAAAAAAGATAATAATAAAAAACGCAATAGTAACAGTTAGAGTTTCTATTGTAATATGACGAATAAAGCAAATAATTCGAACAAACCTTATTCCAAATAGAACCCTAGTAATGACGAACTATTAAATAGCAACAATGGTGTCGAATTAGATGTAATAATAACAAATAATAATATTAATAACAAATAATAATAATAATAATAACAAATAATAATAATAATAAATAATATAATAACAATAACAATAATAATAATAATAACAATAATAGCAATAACAATAACAACGATACCGCCAGAGAAGATTTTTTCATCTATTGATAATTATTAAAATAGACTTGGTAAAAATAGTAAAAACAACTGATTTATAGCGAATTCATTTGTCTATATAGTAAATGGTTTGACAAAAAATTTATTGGTCTGCATGCATAGGTTTTTCGGCTGACATCGCTAGTAAAAACAATGATAAATTTATAGACCAAGTTTAAATGGAAGTGCATTACAGACAAACCTTCATATAATTGGTGTGGTTGAAGACGCTACTGCAAGAAAATCGGGAAACATTATTTTCTCGACAAAAAAATAAAAAATTTTATTTAACATTAAATTGAAATTCGAATTGTTATTGCGTTATAAAAATAGTAAAGCGTTGTAATACATCATCATTTGAATTATTTATTGTATGATGTTTGAATTTCAAATACATCATTACATTTCAATTTGTAATTAATTATTGTATTGTATGAGTTATTTGGATAAAAAATGAATTATATAACACATCACTCAATTTGTTTTTTATGTGATGTAAACGCGGAATTGTTTGTTGTATGAAAAATAAAATAGGAGATTTGAATGCAAACGTTGAAATTTTTTGTATTATTATCATTAATAAAAAAATGCCATTCATTTATTATTATTCATAAATGTGTTGCTTGTGTTGAAAATACCATTAGCAAGAGCGTGTCTATAAAACAGATCAGAGTTGTTTGTGCTACCTTGTGCTGAGCTGACTCCAACTATTACTATATATCTTTCTCAAATAAAAAAGTTGGAGAGCAATTGCACTAGCTAGCAGAACAAAGTAGAACAATAACGGAAGCATTTTAAGAAATCAAATAACGCATTTTTACCAATCTTGCCAAAAACTAAACATAAGAATTAAGTGACACGGGTTAATAGTATCCAGAGCTTTATTATTATCATCTGTAATGAGTGTGCTAGAATTTTACGATTATATTCACACACTCGCTCACTAATTATCACTTTTATATCATTTGATAAAGAAATAATGAATGATTTGTCTTTTAAATTAAAATTAAATATAACCTTAGGTTTCGGCTTATCTCGCGTGTTGGACGAAATAGAATGGGAAAAGGATCCGTTCATCTGGTAGAAAAACCAAAAATCAATTTTCCTACAAGAAAATATTATCCCAAGTGAACATCTGTTCAGCGTTGCTGGTAGCCCAAAGAACAAAACTCGATCCGATTCTTTTTGAGCGAATAGTTTTTTAAAAAAAACCATATTTTTTTAGAAGAAGCATAATTTGTGGACAAAAAGATTATCTGGATATTGATTAGGGAACAGTTTGAATGTATTTGTCGGCCGAAATGTTTTGAGCACCTGTTTTCATTCGAGATTTAGGCTGTCGAAAATCTAAAATTATGTTGAGATGTCTAAATGACGCCAAAATGCATAAATGTTGTCAAAATGCATAAATTAATTATTAAAATAAAAATTATCAAATATTTTTTTGGTGCATAAAAGGAATTAGTATATTCATTATATAGGTTTTGGGGTAAATAATTGGTTGAAAATGGCCCATTCTCAAATTTACCCTCCGCAGCCAATATTTATCAATGAGTGATAAGGAACTGATTGCGTATCTTGCAAATAGTCGGCGTTATTTTAAATCATATTTATACATTTCGTAAATCTTACATTTCAACGGATATTTAGATATTTCAGGCATGTTTCAGTATTATGGCAAATCAAGTGACCTAGATGAATATATTTCGACCTAAATGTTTGTCAAAACTTAAATAAAATAAAAATGGGAACGATTATAAATGATTATAATAATATTGGTAGTAATGAGTGAGGCAAAAATCGATAATATAATTCTGTCGATACTACGATTGTTATTTAATAGAAACGATCGTTCAAATAACTTGCAGTTCTGGAGAACAGTTATCTAACTGATCTTCAACGAATATACAACTGGAATTAATAATTATATTTATGAGGAAAAAAACATATTACACCTTGGTTTGGGATTTCATCAATTAAAGTAATTCTACTCATGAAATAGCTGCTTGTAAAGCCTGCATGAACACAAATCCTGGGAATAATCAATAAAAAAGAAACTTGTTTAAATCGTTTATAGAAATTGCAAATATTTTCAAAGAAGAAGAATACCAAAAATGATAATAAGAAAACTCTAGCCCTGATTCAACACCATTAAGAGAAGCTGTGAAGAAAATTAACAAATAAATAATGTTTTGTTGTTCGCTTTACATTTAACGGTCACAGATATTTCCCAATGTTGACTTTACTATTACTACAATATAATCCGTGGTCCAAATAGCAGAAAGAAGCCTTGACATATAGAAAAAACCAAGTTCACAAAGATTTCGCATGGCACAGTTTTTGCAATAATTTTCATAATATTTGACAAGTATTTATAAAAATGGTTGTCGAAATCTTTGTGAAAAAATTTTTTCCTATAATGTGAATTAAAAATAAGTTACAATAGTAATAATGTGTTACCATCACAAAAAAAAATTTTTTTTGCATACCTAAGAATTCACTTAGTGAGCAATAAAATATTGACAAATAGACTTATATTATATATGACTTGTGTGACTTGAATCAATTGGTTGTAATTTTATACATATTTGATAAATTCAAGCAGTGTATAATATTTTTTCCTTTTTTGGTATTCTTTTGTAGCATGATTGGTTATATTATTAGATAATCCGCGCGACCGTTCGTTTTCA